TTCAAAAATTGGAATTTGATTTTAACTCCTGCTACACCACATTCCAAGATGACCCTTTCCCCGACTAACAAAACTCGACTAGACAAGGCCTGATTAGAATTTGACCTATTCTTAACTGACTCGGCAGATAAATTAGTGAGACGCTCTCAACATAAATTTTATCTTAAAGCTAATAAGCCAGACTCTTTGCTTGTATGCACCATCAGGTCACTGGATAAGCCCTCTAAGCCCATTAGACCTAAGATGGCATGAGATGTCTATACCAGCAATCCAGTTAATTTTACGCAAGTTTCAATCGCACCTAGCTTCCCTGTACTCACCTGATTGTGCATTGGACGTTTAAAAGGCAGAGACCTTTTTTTCGCATATTCAATTACCAGAGCTATCACAGGCCAATCACTCCAAGTTGGATTCCCCTATCACTGAGCCTGAGGTGGCTTTGGCCATCAAGGACTTGAAAGTAAACAAACGCCCGGGACCGAATGGTTACCCCGCCCTGTACTACAGCTAATTTTCTGAGACTTTGACTCCTCTTTTCACTACCACTTTTAACACATTACTTGATGGACGCTCTTTTTGCTCGGAATCCTTAATGGCTCCCTAAACCACATTCTGGTGACTCTATCTGGACTAATTATCATCCTATCTCACTTCTAAATCTGGACATTAAGCTTTTAGCTAAAATACTGGCGACCAGACTGAATACCATGATTGGGAAGCTTATTCATCATGGTCAGGTAGGGTTCTTTCCAGTGTGGCAGGTCAGAGACAATATCCGTAGAGCTGTGTTGATTGCACGTGTGGCCAGAACACAACGTATTCCCTCTTGTTTCCTATCACTTAATATTAAAAAAGCATTTGATACTGTGTCGTGGTCATACCTACACTATTCCTTACGAAAATGGGGATTTGGTCCCCACTTTCTTTGCTGGATTTCGGCTTTATACAACTCTCCAAAAGCGTACGTCAAGTATGCTGGTTATAAATTGGACCCTCTTTGCATTGGCAGAGGTATGCATCAAGGCTGTCCCTTATCTCCTATATTATTCTCTCTTCTTATCGAGCCTTTAGCCCAGCACATCCATTCGGATTCCAAAATCAGAGACATTGAACTTGGTGGACACCAGCATAAATAGTGCCTTTTTGCAAATGACATCCTGCTGTGCCTATCCACACGGCAAATTTTGGCGCCAAATTTGCTAGCCAGGCTCACTCATTTTGCTTTTCTCTCGGGTCCCTCAGTAAAAGCTCAGAAATCGACTTCCCTTAACATAACGCTATCGGATGGAGAGCTATGGCTAGCCCAGGCAGCTTTGCTCTTTTCTTGGGCCTCTCATCACCTCCTTTATGTGGGTATCAAGTTGACTGCTGCTCATACTGACCTCTTTGCCGCTAATTACCCCCCCAATGCTCACATCGGTATCTTCTTTAATGAGTTGTTGGTCCTCTCTTTCACTTTCTTGGATAGGTAGGATTAATGTCCTGAAGATGATTATCTTACCCAAATTTACATACGGCTTACAATCCACTCATAATCCGTTGCTCTCCTTCTTCAAAAACCCTGCCTTTCATCTGGCTTGGGAAAGTCCTGCCTCATTTCATGTATGGAATGCCACGGGCCTTATACACCTACAGTCATGGCCGAAATTGTTGGCACCCTTGATATTTTTCCTGAAAATCAAGTATTTCACACAAAAAAGGTATTGCATTAACACATGTTTTGCTATACACATGTTTATTCCCTTTGTATGTATTGGAACAAATATAAAACCAGAAAAGCAAATATGACATAATGTCACACAAAACCCCAAAAATGGGCTGGACAAAAGTATTGGCACCCTTAACTTAATATTTGGTTGCACACCCTTTGGAAAACATAACTGAAATCAGTCGCTTCCTATAACCATCAATAAGCTTCTGACACCTCTCACCCGGAATTTTGGACCACTCTTCCTTTGCAAACAGCTCCAGGTCTCTCTTATTGGAAGGACACCTTTTTCCCAACAGCAATTTTAAGATCTCTCCACAGGTGTTCAATGGGATTTAGATCTGGGCTCATTGCTGGCCACTTCAGAACTCTCCAGCGCTTCTTTGCCATCCATTTCTGAGTGCTTTTTTGACGTATGTTTGGGGTCATTGTCCTGCTGGAAGACCCAGGATCTTGGACGCAAACCCAGCTTTCTGACACTGGGCCCTACAGTGCGATCCAAAATCCTTTGGTAATCCTCAGATTTCATGATGCCTTGCACACAGTCAAGGCACCCAGTGCCAGAGGCAGCAAAACAACCCCAAAACATCATTGAACCTCCACCATATTTTACCGTAGGTACTGTGTTTTGTTCTTTGTAGGGCCTCATTTCCGTTTTCGGTAAACAGTAGAATGATGTGCTTTACCGAAAAGCTCTATCTTGGTCTCATCTGTCCACAAGACGTTTTCCCAGAAGGCTTTTGGCTTACTCAAGTACATTTTGGCAAACTGTAGTCTTGCTTTTTTATGTCTCTGTGTCAGCAGTGGGGTCCTCCTGGGTCTCCTGCCATAGCGTTTCATTTCATTTAAATTTGTCGACGGATAGTTCGCGCTGACACTGATGCTCCCTGAGCCTGCAGGACAGCTTGAATGTCTTTGGAACATGTTTGGGGCTGCTTATCCACCATCCGGACTATTCTGCGTTGCAATCTTTCATCAATTTTCCTCATCCGTCCACGACCAGGGAGATTAGCTACAGTGCCATGGGTTGCAAACTTCTTGATAATGTTGCGCACTGTGGACAAAGGCAAATCTAGTTCTCTGGAGATGGACTTGTAACCTTGAGATTGTTGATATTTTGCCACAATTTTGGTTCTCAGGTCCTCAGACAGTTCTCGTCTCCTCTTTCTGTTGTCCATGCTTAGTGTGGCACAGACAGACACACAATGCAAAGGTTAAGTGAACGTCTCTCCTTTTTATCTGCTTTCAGGTGTGATTTCTATATTGCCCACACCTGTTACTTGCCCCAGGTGAGTTTACAGGAGCATCACATGCTTGTAACATTCTTATTTATCCGCAGTTGTGAAAGGGTGCCAATTACTTTTGTCCAGCCCATTTTTGGAGGTTTGTGTGACATTATGTCGAATTTGCTTTCTTTCCTCCCTTTTTTTGTTTTGTCCCAATACACACAAAGGGAATAAACATGTGTATAGCAAAAACATGTGTTAATGCAATACGTTTCGTGAGAAATACATGATTTCCTGGAGAAATATCAAGGGTGCCAACAATTTCGGCCATGACTGTATAGAGGTTGGTCAATGCTTCCTCTTTTTTGTCCTTCCCCACTCTCTGTGAATCCTTTGGCCTTCCGCGTTCTGAAGTCTTTCATTATTTGCAGATTAAATACTTTAACTCCCCTTACATCACTGCCCACTGAGTGTTGACAAATCTTTCCCAGTTTGAGCAAACATGCCATAAAGACCCATACGCCAGAAGCCTTGTTTCATCCCTTTATAAACAGATCCTTTTTAAACCTAATTGTGATACACCATCTTATGTTACGAAATGGGAGAGGGATTTGGGCCGCCTGTTGGACCCAGATGGCTGGAGGGAGATCTGGCAGGCTACCAAATCCTCCTCCCCCAACGTAGTGGCGTTGGAGGCTAATTATAAGGTTTTGACCAGGTGGTATCTCATTCCCAATAGAATTGCTAAATTTGTTCCGAGTAGCTTGGCATTCTGTTTTCATGGCTGTCCTCACCTGGGTATTTTTTGGCACATATGGTGGGAGTCTCCAGTGGTTTACTTGTTTTTGGACGAAAATTTTTATGCTCGCATATATCATGTTTCAGACGAACCTGCCACCTGACCCTACCACTGCCCTCCTTAATCTTAAACCTGCACCTTTAACCTGCAGACAATTTAAACTCCTTCTTCAGCTTCTGACAGCCGCTAAACCGACTATAGCTCAGGCATGGCGGTCCCCCCTTTAACCTTGGCTGAGACTAAACATAGAAGGCACCGTGCCATTGTGCACGCCAAAATGGAAGCACTGGAAAAGGATCTGCTTGAAAGGTTCGAGCTGACCTGGAAACCTTGGATTACACACTGCCTTCCCCCTGATTTTGATGAGACAGTATTTTTGCCATGGTAAATTAATGCATTAATACTTTTGTTACGCTTATGATGTGATGCGCCACCCTCAGGGACCTTTTTCTTTTTCTTCTTTGCCTCCTCTTCTGGCTCTATTCTTCATTTCTAATATTTGTGTTTTATATCTGGGTGTGTGTTTTTCATTTTCTATCCTCCTGCAAAAGCTGAGCCTGTAACTGATTAGTTGACTTGGCTGTGCCTTTGTCTTTTATACTTCTGTGCCTCTCTGCAGTCTTTTTTGTTTGTTTCCTCAGGCCGTATTTTGTTGCTACCACTTAGGTTATAGAGGCCTACTGTACCCTGTAGTAGCTTGATTTCAGGCTATTACTTCTAGAATTTTAGTATTTACTGGATATTACCAGGTTCTCCCTGAGTTACAATTTTCTGTGTCCTACATGTTTATCTTGTACTGCTTATCTGCTTATATGTATCATTTTCCCAAGTCATTGGGTCATGGGTTTGTTTTACTCTTTGTACTGCTGGTATCCTGTTTTACATTCGGCCTCACAATGGCCTGCTTGTTTGTATGTTTGTCTGTTTTCTTTTTTCTTATGTGCTCCATGTTGAAATAAAAATCTTTGACAGGGAAAACTAACCACACATAATACAATCTTATTGTATGATTTATGCAGTTCCAGAGCCCACATAACAATTTGTCTATAAGGTGGTCTCTTGCAGTACATACCGTATTTGTTGGCTGGTCTACAGCAAATTGTAATGTGTGCAACCAATAGTATGCATATCGACTTCAAACTACTGCCTTATATATATTAGATTACAAAACAGAACAGAAAACCAGTACTTCAATGTGGCTTTTATTTATTGTATATAAAAACATAAAACCTGAAGAAGAGATCCAATGTATTAGACTAAATCTCATTTAAAATGTACAGTATTTTTTATAGTTAATCATATTTCCTAGTTTTGTTCCAGCAAGATACTTTTCAAACTGTGCATCCACCTCTTTGCTCTGTTCTTCAGTAAAAAGATTCTTCCAGTCCCCTACTTCTCCTAAAAAAGTAAAATATATATGTATATTTTTAATATAATTTGGAACCAAATCACAATCCTATAAAAGCTTCATTAAAAAAAGAAGTCATCTTGGAACCACAGCCCATGAAATTAAAGATTAGTTTCAGTCAAACCCCCCCCCCCCCCCCCCCCCAAAAAAAAAAAAAAATTAAAAGCCAGCAGCTACAAATACTGCACTTTTAAGACTTTTAATATAAAGACATTTACCTGTCCAGGCATTTAGCGTTGTCCGCACCCGAGCCAATTCTATAATCGGCTTCGGATCCAGGCATCTTAAGTGAGGGAAACTGACAGAGAAGCCTTGCGGCCACTCTGCTCCTGTTATGTGTCCCAGAATACTTTGGAGGAAGGAGGGGGGCGAACTTTCAAAACCAGTTACCCACTCCCCCAATCGCCCCCCAAAAAAAGCCAATATTTTAAGAAGGATGCAAAGAAGCAGAACTTCCCCTTTTGGGTGAAGTTCCACCTAAACACCATTTCTAAATTTGACCAAAAATATGAAACATAATCCTTTGAATGGCATATATATACTCTCAAAAATAAATTTGGCTAGTGACATTTACACCTTAGATAGTGATATAAGATAATAAATGACCAAATTTTATGAATATGGTGCAAATAAATGGTGAATAATATAAAATTAATAAAACAGTGCTTACAATCAATGGTTATATGAATTCACACTATACTGTAAGTATATCGAATTCAATTAGTGTTGAATAAAGCCAAGTGAAAAGTTTAAGTGAAGTAGTACTTTTAACAATATGAACATTGCCCACTCCTGAGCCCTGCACTCTGTATGGTACATACTCTTCAATTGCATCTTGTACAGGACTTACTGTACACCTATACCTGTAATATGTATGTTACATACTCTGCACTCTGTATGTTACATATTTTTGACCCCTGTGCTGTGTATACATTTTTAACCTCTCCCATTGTTAGCAAAAATTTGTCCTACCCAAATTTCAGCGAGGCTGGGGGAAGGGTGGTTGTGCTCAGGTTTTCAGGGGCTCTGTATGGTAAGCTGTACAAGGCTCCATGATTTCTAATGACAGCCCTGCTCCTATCTGTGTACCTCCTCCCCTTGCAGTCTCTGGTGCTCAGTCAGGGCATTCTTAAACCCTGATCTCCAGTTCTGCCTGTAAAAAGAGCCTAAAGGCAGAACATTTCTACTGCTGGTTGCTGCTGCTAACACCAGGTGCACAGGCGGCATGGAAGCACATTGCACAGCATAGGAGATCCCAAAGAAAGGGATGTGAGCAAAGTTTCTGTTCATAAGCACTTGTTTGGGGACTAGGATTGCCACCTCATCCTTTTAAGCCTGGGTTCACATATATGCGGTGTGGTATATTGCATGTGATTCGCACAGGAACCGCACCGCATTCCTGTGCAAATCACATGCGATTTGTGTGCGGTGCTATTGGAGCCATACATTTTGTAAGGCTCTAATCGCACTGCACCCATACCAAAAAGTTGCAGAACCCTTTTTTTTGGTCCACACTAGAATCGGATTGCATGTGTATTCACACCTATGTGATCTGATTCTGCACATCGCACTGCGTTTTGCGGACCACTTTCGGGGTGTTTTTAACTTAACATACACACCCGCAGCGGTTTGCATGAACAGGGTGCGAATCTGATGCGGTGCAGAATTCGCACAGAAAACGCTGCGAATTCCGCACCGCATCAGTGTGAACCAGGGCTGAAATTTAACATATATTAATTACACAGATTCTGAGGCTAATTTATTGCAGGTAAGTGAGTTTAAATGCAGGTAAATGAGTTTACCTAACACCTTAATCAGCCACAGAACCTGTGTAATTAATATGTGTTTGGTTTTAAAGGGATGAGGTGGCAACAAAGTACTAGTGGTGTATTGTAGTGTTTTTTCTTTTTCATGATTCCATATTTTCCTCAGAATTGAGTAACACTATATTTTTTTCCTCTGCTTGATCTGCAAAAACAGTTGCAATTGACTACAGTTTTCTTTCTTTTAAATTTTTTTTAAGTCTTTCTTAAAGCCAGGTTGGAATGTTAAATGAAAATAGTTATGAGGCATGACTGTGATTATTTTTTTTCTACACAATTAAATAATTGAATGAACATTTTCCAAGAGTGGAGATTCCATACTTTTTGCTAGAGATTTTAATGTCTCACTTTTGTATTCTTTCTTTTGGAAGTGTCTCCACCATAATTTCCCCAAAGTTAAAAACTTTCTGTTTAATGACTTTTTCAACTATTAATGATGTTTAGAGATATCTGCTACTCCAATTTAGGCAATATTATGGATATCTCTGAATATACTTTGACATTTGAACAATACATTTTGGATGTCTGCAGTTTTATCATTTAGCCATTCTTTATGAGCTGGGCCCCTATCTTTTACACATGTCTGTGTTTTAAAAAGATAAACTTTTGGTTCATATTTTGCAGTATATGGTAGCCAACTAAGGCAGCATGGTGCTCTTTCAGCAAGTCCCAAACTAGCTGCACATATTTAAGTACATTTTTTGCGTCAGCTTGACCTTCATAGTCTGATGGATATAACACAATTTAGTGTCCACATTGCAGTGAACAATTCTGCTTGGTTATATATAATTGGAATGGTTTGATTAGTTACACTCTCACAGTAAATTTCATTTACTAACAAAGCTGAGAATCTTTACTCAAAGCATTGCGTCTATTCACTACAATATTCTAATCATGTGAAAAGCAAATTCATGTTCACTTTAAATACCCACGCACATGCTTTTCACATATATAGATCATTGAAGTGAATTTTGACAATTTGTATCAGTGGAAATGTTCAATTTCTTAAAGTGTCCAAAAAAAACCCAAAATTATCCTTTGCAGTGGGATTGTGCTTGTACTGCAGGGTTAATAGCTCATTTTGTCTAGGGAAGAGGAGAAACAGTTTTACTTGCCTGATCCTCCTCTACCCCAGCACTCCCCCACAATCCAGCGGTGGACTGTCCCACAATCCAGCGGTAGACTGTCCCACAGCATCTTCACATCCAATGCATGGCTATGAACCCCGCTCTTATCTTGATGATGTCAAGACTATAGACCAGTGGAGAGTGGGGGTGCAGATTCTGCGGGGGACTGGTCTAGCTGCGGGAACAAGCAAATAATCAGGTAGGTAAACCTCTTTTTATTGTTCCCTGAACATAAACAGTTAACTCTTGCAGTGTGGGCACAGCCCCCTGCAATAGATCATTTTTTTCCCCCAGAATTGGCCCTTAAAGTAGTAGTAAACTCTGTCCAAAAATTTTTTAAAAATTCCCCCCCCCCCCGTAGTGTTATGCCATAGTGTGCTCATATACACAGCATTACGACAGACTGACCTGTCAAACAAAGCCCTCCAGCACTGTCACCAATCCTGTGGGTCCTCAGTGCTCCCATATTTGCCTGCTCTTCCAGGTTCCATCTCTTTGGCTGCTTGAAACAATGGTCCTCAAAGATGTCACTCCTGCGCATGCGCATGGGGAAGAAATTACCACAGCATACAATGGGTGTCGTATATGTGGTCTGAGCTGTACATGTGCAGTTCAGATCACATTACCACTGACACTCAGGGGTAGGTAGGATCTCTTCTGTTATAAAAACTCTGTCAGCGTTTTTTTTACAAATATAAGTGAAATACAGCTTTAAGTAAATGAGCCTCACTATGTAATTAATGATATGTATTGTTTGCCAGCCACATCAAACCTGATTGTGACCAACCCACTCTACAACAACATACTCAAAGAGATGCTGGGATCTATTAGGTTTGCCCACTTATTCAGATGAAGGAAAACTTCAAAAAGCTCCATAGCTTTGGCGAGGCAGCCTCCATGCAGCAAGGCTTTTCTCAATGGGAACCCCACAGCAACTCAAACCACAGAATACAGAAAGGAATGCCAGACCAAAACAGTAAAAAGGTTAGAGACAACACCACTCACCTTTATCAAGGCTCAACACTAGATAAAACACACCCAACTTTACTACGAAGTTGGACAATTTTTTTGAGGCTTTATAATGTTCTGCAGTATTAATATTTTACATATAAACAGGTTGTGCACACATTTTTTCAGCGTAATATTTCTAATGAACGCAGTATGCAAAAGAACATTATCTACACAGAATTCAAGCAATTTATTATTTAAAAAAAAAAATACTTTTGATTTACATATTATTAGGTTGAAGAAAAACTGTTTTTTTCTGTAAACAAAACCCAATGTATTGTTTTTTAGATTTTTGTTATTTTTTTTGTACAACACAGAATAAATCAGTTTTATTATTTTACCTTTTCTGAAGAAAACATTCGCAAGATCTCCATGTGTGCTACCAGATTTCTCCTTCATAGATGAAAAAGAAGTTTTTTCCTGTATCAACTTGATTTGCTCATCAGTCAGAGCTAAGCCATAGAAGTCACATATTTTTCGCAGCTCTCTTGGAAGGTCCTTTAGACAGGAAATACATATATAAATAGCAATTATTCATTTTCTGATTTATTATCAAGAGCAAAAATATCTTGTTATGGTATTAGGAACAAGATGATGTCACTTTTTGGAGGACGCACACCAGAGAATGCACTTCTAAGAAGTATAATAAGGACATATTCAAGAGAAAGAAAAGCATATATACAAGAAGAAAATTTAACATATTTAATCAATTTATAATGGGGAGGCAAACACACTAGTGGTTATTCACTAAAACTGAAGAGTGCAAAATCTAGTGCAACTTTGCATTTGCTAGGTAAAGTCTAGGTAAAGTCTACCAGAATAGACATTTATGCAGGCCATAGACGGGGAGAAAACCGGCCGTTTTTTTTTTAGAAAAATGAAAAATCGGCCGTTCAATCAGCCGACGTTAACACCATTGGTGAAAAAAAGTCGGCTGATTTTCCTCCTGTCTACGGCCAGCAAATATAACAGCAGTGTCCCTGCAGAGAGCTCCGCTATTATATTTGACATTTAAAAGTATAGCAAAGTTGCAACATTGTATCTATTTGTATCCATTTGTATCCATTTCGGATACAGATGTTTCTATTTGGATACAAATGGATACAATGTTGCAACCGCAATACTTTTAAATGTCAAATATAATAGCAGACTGAAATTCTTTTTTTTCTTCTATTTCTTCTTCTTATTCATATTCTATTTCTTCTTATTATTATTCATATTCTATTTCTTCTTTTCTTCTTCTTATTCATATTCTATTTCTTCTTTTTCTTCTTCTTATATTCTATTTCTTTTTTTCCAAGATGACCGACAAAAAAAGTGTCAAAATCACGAAAAACGGACGACCTATTACCCCACTAATGATCCGAAAATCGGCCGATTTTTTTTGCCCGAAAAATCTGCCAATTTTCGACCCATCTATGGCCTGCATTACTGAAAAAGTGGACAGTCCAATGACAAACTAATATATTATTTGTATACTATTTTTGTATTTCATTAATTGTTCATAGGAGAAAAGAGAGATGGATGGCAATTAACATGTGATATTAACAATCAACAGTTCCCGAATGTAATGTGTAAGAGATCCTAGATTTTACCCATTTTTACTGCACTTTAAATAAGATAAATGCATAGCAAGTGCATCAAAACATAAAGGGGTTGATTTGCTAAAGCTAGAGAGAGCAGAATCTGGTGAGGCTCTACATAAAAATCAATCAGCTTCCAGGTTTTATTGGCAAAGCTTATTTGAACAAGCTGAAGTTAGAAGCTGATTGGTTACCATGCACAGCTGCACCAGATTCTAAGGGCACCAGTTTTAATAAATCTACCACTCAGCTTCATTTTGTACACAGTGTAGGCTTCATGATCAAATAGGTTAAGAAATAGGTTGAGGACACTGAAAATGGACATAGTAGGCTAAGTTAGGGGTAGTAAGGTGTGGTTTTGGTGGTGATGGGGGTGATTATGGGAAGACTTGCAGATCTACACATTACAGGTGTCACACTATCCTGTGCTAATACTCTGGCTAGAAGGTAAAAGAAGTTCAGGAAAACACTACTCCCCTTTATCCAGCTTACTCCAGCTAGAATGCCAAAGACAGCAAGGCTATATAGAAATATTTCCATACAAAAAAGGTTTAATTGTGAGATGTGGAGACTTTACTTGGTGGCTGACATTTTGGAGAAAGAATAAAGTTGACAAATGTATACAATAGTTTCTCTAGGTCTGGCATTGTTGACTTCCAACCATACTAGTTCCATGGCTGCCTTTGTCTCGAAGAGTTTCAGGGACTGATGAGGGACAAGCATTTAAAAAGAGAGTCAAAGAGAACTCAGATTGTCTGATCTGCATACCAGGTTGCAGGTCAATACTTTAGTTGGTATTGAAGCCATTGGATCAACATGACTGCAAGGCAACTAGCATTTTAGGAAGGAGAAGTCAGCAATGGTAGCTTGCATATTCTCTCAGCACAGATTTCCTTTACCCTACCTCTGTTAATACATTCCCTGTACGTGTGCTTGGTCATTTGCTTCTCTGCATTTTTTTTTATCATGCTCTTCTATCTTTGGACTGCATGCAAAAATAGATGTTATATTTAAGAAAATGTGTATATAAATGACATGTTCATGAAGAATATGATTACCATTCAGGTTTCCCTGATTAGGTAATAGGTAATTTCCATTCAAGCAGGAAAGAAAGATGAAACCCAAGGAGCCAGGGAAATCTTCTGACCAGTCTGCCATCAATTCCTGTCCATTACCAACATTACTAGCCATATCTAATATATATTAGTGTTATTAATATTATTATTTAGGATTTATATATCACCAACTGTTTGAGTAGCACTTTACAACATGAGTGTGGACAGTATAGTTACAATACAAGTCAATACATGAGGAATCGGAGGCCCTGCACCTTAGAGCTTACAATCTAAAAGGGAGGGTTAGGTGATATAAAAATGTAATAACTGTGGGGGATGAGCTGATGGAGAATATAAAAGTACAGTTGTTAGGTGTGGGCAGGATAGGCTTCTCTGAAGAGAAAGCTGTTCAGTGATAGCCTAAAAATGGACAGAGGAGGAGATAGTCAGACAGATTGGGGTAAAGAGTTCCATATGATGGGAGAAGTTCCTCGAAGAGCACAGGAGGTCTTGAGAGGAACAAACAGAATGACTTGGTTGGTATTTTGAGACTAGCCTAGTGATGTAGCTTGGGGCAGAGTTGTGGATGGCTTTGTATGTTGTTAATATTTTGAATTTACTTTGTTAGGTGAGCAGAAGCCAGTGGAGGGATTGGCAGACAATGAATGGTTAGTGAGGTGGATGTGTCTGGCAGCAGCATTCATGATGGACTGAAGAGGGGATAGCCTATGTAAAGGTACGCCAATGAGTATGTAATATTATGTAATTTCTAGTTTCTGAACTAGACTTGCTGCTTTCAGATATGACATTTGGCATTAACCCATGTTTTGACCAAAAGATTTCTTTTTATATTAACCAATTGTCATCATATGTAAAAAATTGGTGAGCGAGGTCTAAGAAGGAAAACTTTATTCTGATTTTTAAACAGGAAAGTACACATTTTTTAAAGTTCTGTTGGTGCCAAGTAGTAAGATTTTGGCAGCAATGCAAGGAGCAGGCTGTAGCATCAATGCAATAGTTTTTCTGTTTATTTGTACCCTCTGTGCTTGGAATCCTGGGCAGCCAAATGTGAGATTACAAAGGTATGCAAGTTAATTTACTGTAACTCAAAATATATGCACAATTAATATGTGGTCAGGGGCCGTTTTTTATTCTGTCACCGTGCTTTAGTGCTTTAGAGCTGCAGAGGGAGGAGATTATATTAATTTAATTAATCTGCTTAATTTTAATAAATCTGTTGCATTCTGTCTCACTACTCTTAAGCATTGCCCTGCTGTGCTATAAAAGTGATACTGTGTGTTCCCAATCCTTTCGACTCAAACATTATATTTTTTTACACAGATTTCTGGTCTACAATAAAGTAGTCTGCTACAAGGTTATTTTTTAGGGATTATAGTTTAGGGACTTTTTTGGAGAAGGCAAAGTTTCTCTGTGAAGAGACTCTATTGTATTGTAATTGTATAATGCCATGCAAAAATAGAACTGGAAGCCTTTGGTATGGGAGAAAAACAAACTGGTCTTTTCATGATGGGGTGCATAGCTTCCACAAAGGGTAGCTTGGTGCCACACCATGGTGGGTGTTATTTTTAAAAAATAACTATGAATATTTGTATACATACTGTATATACAGAGAGAGAGATTGTAAGGAATAAATTGTAGAAAAGAAAGTAATCTGAGTACAATGTGTGCCACTCTCTGAAAGATGTATAGACTCCACTAATAAAATAGTAAATAAAACACCATTCCATCACAAATAATTCCTTTAACATGCAGCGCTCCTCTAGTTAGCTATTGGAAGCTAGAAAGCTTTTTTAGATAGAGGCTGGATGGCAGCCTGGTATGACTTAGCCTAAGATGAGTCAGCCAGGTTCACTTTAGGTCAGGGCTGAGTAATCTCATACAACCTGGGCCAGATAAAGGGGGAGGGCATTCTGGTAGGAAACCTGACTAGACCCCATCTGGGAATTATTATTATTATTATTATACAGTATTTATAAAGCGCCAATAGTTCACTCAGCGCTGTACATTACAAAGGGGGACAGACATGTGACATGTGACAGAACAATACCAATACAATGCAAAACATGAGGGGATCAAGGGCCCTGCTCTTTCGAGCTTACAATCTAGAAGGGATGGGATAGTGGTACAGGAGGAGATAGCTGTGGGGGATGGAGTGGTAGGAAGAGTGGAGGAGGTCAGCAAGTTAGCAGGGGGTGAGGTAGGCTTCCCTGAAGAGATGGGTTTTCAGGGTGCGCCTAAAGGAGAGGAGAGTAGGTGATAATCTGATGGGTTGGGGCAGGGAGTTCCAGAGGATGGGTGACACCCTGGAGAAGTCCTGGAGGCGGGCATGGGAGGAGGAGACCAGGGAGCTAGAGAGAAGGAGGTCTTGTGAGGAGCGGAGTGTGCGTGCTGGGTGGTGTTGATTTAAAGTGACAGTTCTGGGTCCCCTTGCACAGGGATTCCTTCGGGTAGCACGGGTGAAGAGGAGAATGCATTTGGGGTCTGAGGTGGTCCACCGGGAAGGCTGGACAGCTCTCCAAGAAGAGAATCCTTGTCTGTAGACTTGAACATAGTTGCTAAGGAGTTCTCTTCAAGTTGCAGTTTCCTTGGGCATCCCATACATCCCTCAACCCTATCCACGTTCAATACCCTTTAATAAAGCCAAGAAAAAAACCCAAGCTGAAGGACTGTCTACTTTCTCCAGTGTGTGCAAGGTTTGAAGAAAATACATCTTCCATAGCAACTCCTAAGGGGGTAGTGCCACAAACACTTCTGAGTTTTCCAATGTCCCAGCATTGAAACTCTTTTGCCGTTCTCTAAATTCAGTCAAATAATATCTCAAAATAAGTTAATGCTCAAAGATCTTAGGTGTACACACTGGAACATATAGCTAAAAACCAGCTGGCACTGACTGAAGGTCCACTCTAATTGAAATATGAATGGGAGAGTATCTTCATTCAGGAACACCAGTTCAGTCCTCCCCTGTTGTCTTTTTGGGGATTGAACCATTTGGAGCCCAAAAATTGTAGGGATATGGTCCTAATTGATGCTTAATAACATCTATTATCAGGACTTTTTTGACAGAGAATAGGCAAGAACACAACCTCACTCCCATGGTGGAGAGTAGCGATGTGGAATGGCACTCTCTGTATGATGTATTATTGGGTGGGTGTGGCCAAATTCCAGTGGGAGGGTCTTAAAGGGGTTTGTTAAATAAACCAGAAGTGTGTAACAAACAGTGTGTCAGGGTTAAGGAGTGGGTAGCAGGGTTCAGGAGTGATTTACGCACAGGGTGCAGGGTTCAGGAGTGCACAATGTACAAAATGCAGGGTTCAGGAGTGCACGGTTCTGGATTGCATATCTCACAGGCCAGTTTACAACCAATTATGACCTCCCCCCTGAATTCTCCACAGCCCCCATCCCCAGTATTGAACTCTCCCATCAAATTCCCCCTCTACAAAACTGTCAGCCAGTGAGATCATCCAGGTTACAGTTCAGTACCTGATGCCCATACCTCATGTCCACAGACACACTGCACTGGGGCAGCTGTTCCTTCCTTGTCCTGTCATGAGTGCAAGCATAGGGACATTCTGTTGCAGCAGATGTCGACAAGGCACTGCCTCCTGTAAACACAGAAGCTGGGCTTTTGAATTTTTAAAAGGGATAGTAAATAGCAGTAAGCACAGGGCTGTGACGGAGGTGATGGAACTCAGTTCTGCCTCATTCCGTCTGTTATAGTTTAAACCAAAGATACAGGCTGTTGGTGATATCAATGGACTAAGTGAACTACAAAAGTTAATCAAAAGCTAAATGAAACATCCTGGTAGAATCAATTTTTTATTAAATTTGTAAGTCCTTGCAGTATATTTTACAGCTGTATATTTGACTGTTTGTGAATCTATGTACTAAGCAATGCCAGTGCCAGTTTTTTAGGCATAAACTCGAAGCAGTTTTTAGTTTTAATGCAAACTATAGAAGTTATTGAAGTTACCTCTTTCATGTCTTCAAATGTAAGTACAAGAATATTACCATCATCGACATGTTTCTCCCACTGAAGAGTATAATCAAAGAATGATCCATAGATTACTACAAAAAGACAAGATGCAACGCTTTCAATACCATAAAGCACAGGCAGTTACCCTGATTTACTAAAGCAGTAGAGCATGCTCACTTTCAAAGTGAATTTTCACTTATCCTAGTGAGTAAGGTGAAACAAAGTCAAAATCACTTTGAAAAGAATACCCAATCATGTCCAATGAAAAATATAAAAAAAAATGGATTTTTGTTCGCACATGACTGTATGATTGAAGCCAATACAACTGAATTTCATTCAATAAGCTAATTTAATATTTATTTTACAAAAAAAAGTCCCCTTGGTCTAGGTTCACACCTATGCAAGTTGCATTTGAGGCGTTTTGTGTTGCGTTTTTGCACTTGCGGTTTTTTTAATTTGCATCAAAAACACTGCAAAAATGCAATACATGCTGTTCTGCAGCGTTCCCATTGAAGTCTATAAAATCAAAAATGCAACTTTTGCGTTCAAAAAAGTCCCTGACCCTTTACAAAAAACGCACAGGGTGAAAAACGGAGAGATGTGAACCTGTCCCATAGGAAATCATGTTAAATGGACTGTACTGCATTTCTGCAAAATGCGGCAGAAAACGCATAGGTGTGAACTGAGCTTAGAGAATGAGGTGAAGCTGTACTGACTGAAATCATCCATTCATGTGTAAGAAAAAAAACTGTTTCTAATTCTCCTTGCATGCGATTGGATATTCTTTGTAAAGTGAATTTTCATTTTGTTTCACCTATTTACTAAACAAGTGAAATGCATTTTGCAAAGTGAAAATTCACTTTGAAAATGAACACAATGTATTTAGTTTGTAAATCAACCCCATTGTTTTCCCTGTTAAAGGTTTTTTTCTACTTGTAGGTTTAGCTCTTGAACCAATTGGCAATTAACAGGGAAAGTGTTTACATTCCATAGAAGACAGCGTATGATCCTATACCCCCCTTTTACAAAGATTCACTGACATTATAGGCTAAATGCTAATATTTTTCAAAACTGTACAAAGTACGATATAGTTGTAGGTGTAAAAATATGTCAACAAAACACGTAGGTGAAACAGCAGTGTGTTGGATTTACTTTTTTTTGCCTCTTTTTAGTGCACCTATTTTTCTATCTGTGCATTTTTAAAAACATTTAATCAGTACCATTTCCAGTTATATAATCCTTGAAGAACAAGTCCCAAGAGTCATATGTAGGAAGTGTGGGATTCTTGTTTGTGAAATGGTAGTAAGACACAGCTGTGTCTTTTGGATTACGAAGTATGAGTAACATCTGCAACAAAAAAATGTGATTAAAGAAAGCATTGCTTACTATTACTTCAGCAACCTAAGGTTCATGATTGCACCAAATTATCATTATCATATTTTTTTAATGCATCATCAAAATTTTTAGAGTTAAATAATGCATTTTATATAAATATATTATTAAGCTATAACATTAAACCACATGAAGAAAAAAAAGTTTTCAAGTCATAGGATTATACAGGTACACATGGAAATGATAGTTTAAAAACATATACAATATTTTATTTCCACAATAACATTAACTACTTGATCTCCAGAAGATTTTACCCCCTTTATGTCCAGACCATGTTTTTACTATTCAGCACTGTGCTACTTTATTTGGCACTTGCATGGTCATGAAATACTGTAGTAGTAGTAGTAGTAGTAAACAAAGGCTTTAATTCATAAAGCCTTTGCTTACTACTGTGGTCACTATGATTGGTCACAGCAATCATATGGTACAGGGCCAGTGAACTGATAAAGTGACAGTAGTAAAGAAAGGCTGAATGAATGCAGCTGAACACTGCAAGGAAATTGATTGCTTATGTGACTGTATGAGCAATCACAGTGTACAGTGGACTGTCATCAGCGCAAGTGAAGTGTCACTAAGGTGACTTGCACTGCTGTGGTAGTCATCATGTACAATGGCTGGCTGCTCTGATATTACTATGTGTCAGTGCCTCCAGACATTATCTCTGATCACATCACAGCAGTACAATGTCACCAGGACACCCCAGTCACAGTGTCCCTAATCACTGTTGCACCAGTCACAGTGTTCTTAAATCGCCCCAACACTAGTTACAGTGTCCCTGATCACCACCACACCAGTCACAGTGATTGAAATCATCTGTTAATATTAACAGATGATTTGGAATTTTCCAATTAGTATATCTCAAATAAATCACACTCTCTGTCCTGTATATTTATGTGCACAGCTACTTACTAACTGTACACTGCAATGCACATTCGTATTCTCCTTGCCAATGGATGTGTGTTGCAGCACAATGGAATGCACAGTAATGCACTACCATGTGTTGCAATTCACTGTGTTGCAAAAATACATTCATTTTTTTTATGTGTCTTAGGTTGCTCATTGAAATGAATTTTGAAAAAAAGACTGTAAGGAAGTTATAGTAACCAGCAACATCCTGTTCAGGATTTAGAATATCTACCCATTCAGGATTTAGAATATCTACCCATTCAGGATTTAGAATATCTACCCATTCAGGATTTAGAATATCTACCCATTCATTTTTAAGAGATACAAAAGTGGATTGAATAAATCAATGGGGAAACTAAATGAAAAAAATATGTAGCAGATAGTACAATGTTATTTTTGTAAGTTTGCAAGAAAGATAAACATATTCCTAAAATATTAAAATATAGCTAAAAATTAAATGAACATTTTTTTTCTTTTTTTTTTTCCCAAGTTCAACATTTTCACTTATACTATACCTTGGTCTTCTTTTCAAAAAAGTTTTTAGGAATAGTTTCACATGGAACATGCGTTGCCAAGACTCTTGGTGAAGGCTCTTGATTCAAGAACTTTAGAGAAGGGAAATAAATTTCATTGGTAATGTAAGCTTTATTTTATGTTTATTTTTCATCAAGAAATAATATATGCACAGCATTTGTCTGTTGGACCTTTTAAGAATTCTGTTTGATAGAGAGGCATTTTTAGGAATGTTTAAAGTAAAATATCAACTACTTTCACACCGCCCTATAGTAGATATACTGCTACAGGGCGGCAGGGGTGCGCCAGATCACATATATATGTGATTTTGCATTCCTGGGTAGGGGGCTCAAATGAGCCACGCGCACGCCCTACCTACGCCACTATTCGCAGCCTTGGTTGTGAATTACTGGGTCCCGGCTGGTGATTACTGGTCGGCACCCAGTGACTCTAAACAATACAGTTCTCTCCCATGTCAGCTCCTGCACACTGCTTTGCATGGCTCTGCATAGCAGAGCCATACAAAGCAGTGTGCTTACAGTGGAGAGCACTAACACAGCCCACAGCAAAACAGCACACAGTTAACCCTTTGATTGCCCCACATGTTAACCCCTTCCTGCCCAGTGCCATTAGTACAGTTTCAGTGCTTTTTATTAGCACTGATCACTGTATTGGTGTCGCTGGGGACGTCAGTGACACCAAGTCAGTTCCCTCCAGTGTCAAAATGCCCACTGCAGTCCTGCAGTCCCGCAGTCCCACTATAAGTCACTGATTGCCGCCATTACTAGTAGAAATCAAAAATATTAAAAAAAATCACAGTATATACTGTATATACTGCCATTTTATAAACGCTATAACTTACGTAAACGAATTAATTTACACATATTGAGATTGTTTTTAGCAAAGACATGTAGCAGAATATATTTTGTCCTAAATTTATGACAAAATTCGATTTTTTTTTATTTTTTTTACTGGACATGTTTAATAGCAAAAAGTCAAAATATTGTTTTTTTTTTCTCAAAATTGTTCGGGTCTTTTTTTTTTATAGTGCAAAAAATAAAAAAAACGCACAGGCAATTCGTGGGGAAAAAGGATGTAAATGTAATTTGGGAGCAGAGTTGCATGACTGTGCAATTGTCAGTTAAAGTAACGCAGCGCCGTAACGCAAAAAAGGGCCTGGTCAGGAAGGGGGGTAAATCCTCTAGAGGGCAAGTGGTTAAAAATGCAAAACTCCATTAAATGTTATGCCTTGGTGGGGGGGGGGAGCCCTGTCCCCAGGGCCGTGGATAAGGGGGTACCACCAGTCCTCCTGTACGGGGCCCAGGCCAGCAGGGGGGCCCACACACCTGAGAAAATTTGATGTGGGCAGGGAGGGCAATTACTGGAACCAATCCCCTGCATGGCTTTCTCTGCAGCAGCTGAAAGCTGTCTTCTTCTGCCTCCCACTGGCTTTCAGCTGCAGTAGAGAGAACCATACAGGGGATCGGTTCCAGTAATTTCCCCCAGCCACACTCATCACCCTTCCAGTGAACCATATGTTTCCCCCTGCTTCCAAGGCCCCACCTGTGTGCCCCCACCCCCACAGTGCTGCCAGCTTCCCTCCTTTCCTTGCCACTGGCAGCTGCAATCACACAATAGGATCGTTCAGGATGGACAGTGAGGGAAAGGTCTGGTAAATATGCCACATTTATCATCCCCTTCTTTTCCTGAATGAACACAATGAGTGATCAGTACCAAACACTCACCATGTTCATTCATAACTGAAGCATAGTAAACTGTTTTTCTTTTGTGTTTTTTTTTTACGTGGGGGCCCTGCCAGTATGGCTGTATGAGGCCCCGTGGTTTCTAACAGCAGCCCTGACCCTACCTATGAAGTGGCACCTCTGTGCAATATGTATAACCTACTACAGCGACACTGACATTTACAAAGAAAAAAGTGTGTTTGACCTCTTGCCACCCACATACAGTAACGCATATGTGAGATGACAAGGAGGGTGGCATTAAAGCACACATGCTGCACATATGCATCCATGTGCGGCTGAGGTTTCTGCACTGAAAGCATGTTTCCACACACAATGACTGAGCTATCAAAGACAGCTCCTGGTCTATAGTAATGATTGGGAGGTGGGGGGACCGGTTAATGTGAACTGTGAAAGCCATCACAGTGGTCACGTGATCTGGCAGATCTTCTCACCCTCTATGTGTAATAGCCCAGTTAAAGGGACCCTAGGGCTAGGGGAGAAGGGGTCAAATTGCTATCCCAGCTCCTTTGCATACATTGCTAGGGATTTCCAGCCATGTGAGTGAAAGCACTGCCTGCACCCGCCAGACTCCTTAACAACTATTGATAGTGGAAAATTGTCATGTATAATAGCAGAAGTCATACTGCTATTAAACATGATGTTCAGATCAAACCAATTAGGTAGATGTCTGGCTGTTCATCCGAACATAATATATAACATCCTCCATGATGCAGCGCAATCTCATCAAATAATGTGACATTCCATAATTCAAAAAAATATAATCATCCTTCAATATCCAATAAAGCTGTATTTCCTCCCCCAACATGATGTGATTTATCTCTTCTTTCCTCTATTCTCAAGCTATGTGACACATGCAAACTCCCAGTGATAATATGTGCTCACCTTTTGCAACGAACCTCAATAAAGATCAAGGTCATAACACACTCGTTGCCCCACCCTGGGCATATGTGGCACCAGTTATTCTTCTTGCTCCTTCCTTCTCGGTATACACTCACTGGCCACTTTATTAGGAACACCTGTTCAATTGCTTGGTAACACCAATTGCTAATCAGCCATTTTCAGCCAATCACATAAAAGCAACTCAATGCATTTAGCCATCTAGACATGGTGAAGATGACTTGCTGAAGTTCAAACCCAGCATCAGAATGGGGAAGAAAGGGGATTTAAGTGACTTTGAACGTGGCATGGTTGTTGGTGCCAGATAGGCTGATCTGAGTGTTTCAAAACTGCTGATCTTCTGGGATTTTCACTCACAACCATCTCTAGGTTTTACAGAGAATGGTTCTGAAAAAGAGAAAATATCCAGTGAGCAGCAGTTGTGTGGACAAAAAATGCCTTGTTGATGTCAGAGGTCAGAGGAGAATGTGCAGACTGGTTTGAGATGTTAGAAAGGAAACAGCAACTCAGATAACCACTCGTTACAACCAAGATATGCAGAATACCATCTCTGAATGCACAACACGTCAAACCTTGAAGTAGATGGGCTACAGCAGCAGAAGAGCACTCTGGGTAGCAAAGTGTACCTAATAAAGTGGCCAGTGACTGTACATTACATGCAAAAAAAGGGACCACAATAGTGTTCTCTGAATAGTAGCAATTTATTAAAAGCTCCCAAAATCAACACTTACATGCTGAGGAAGCTCTGGTACAGAAGTGTAACGCATACAGAATTTTGAGGATTTCCCACCCTCTTAAAGCAGAGTTCCGCTCACCCTGTCAAAAAATTTAATTCAGCAGCTACAAAAACTGTAGCTGCTGACTTTTAAAAAACAGCCACTTACCTGTCCCTCGGTCCCATGGTATGTCCCCTGCAACCCGTTTCACCAACCGTCCTGTATTCCATGAGGCCGGCATCTTCACTGTGGGCACCCGGATGTGACTGCTTGCGGCTTCACAGCAGGGTACCCACTGCGCATGCGCGAGTAGCGCTGTGCTTCATGAATGGCCCTGTAGTCTTCTGGGATCTGTCACGTGTCCCAAAAGAATAGAGGGAGGGAGGACACCTTCTGTTTCCGATCGCCTAGGCGATCGGACCAGAAGTGGGATCGGGTACCTGTCAAATTCGGGTACCCGCCGCCCCCAAGCGTGCCAATTCTTAATGGGGAGCAGTCCTTAAAGTGGAACTTCCCCTTTTGGGTGGAGCTCCGCTTTAAGGACTTTCACATTATTTGGTGGAATTGATCTGCATTGTAGAGGACGTTATATATTTTGTTGAAGTGTGGCAAAAAGCACTAACTGATGTGAGAGCAGCAATCACTTTTTTTTAGCTTTATTTTATTTTTCATGCATTTATATTATTTTATTTTGAATGCGTTTATGGACCTTTATTGTTTTCACTGTTTTTATGTTCATCTAAACACAAACAGCCAAAGTTTTGTCTGAATCCTAAAGCCTAAGTGTAGTCAAAATAAAAACACAAAATCAACACAAGGGACATGATTGTTAATGTGCTATGTCCCTTGTGATGATGGCTCCTGGTTTCCTTAAAAATTTTCTCCATTGATCTCCCTATCTCTGCCATTATCTTCTGGTGCATCGGGGGTTATTAGGACTGAGGGAGCTGTCATTCGTACTCATCAAGAGTGCCCAACTATGCTTGCCATTCTGCCCAGCTCTATGAATGAAACACTATCTATGAATCAAAGGGATGGACCTTTCAATCATCTGCCCGTCCATCATCCTATGTCATCCTATTTTATTCATAGAAGCTGCAAAACCAGCTTTTATGAATGGTAGTGCTAAGAGGAAAGGGTGCAAAACTAAGCACAAGGTACATGACTTACTATTGTAAGTCATGTACTTTGTGCTTATTTTTGTGGTTTTTATTTGACTATGCTTTAAGCTCATGCGTACATTTGAGCTCACTGCAGTAAAGTGAAATCTGATTGAATGTTATGACTTACCGCAGCTTGTATATTACCACTGCTCTTTGCACTGCTTTACTAGCCAGCATGGCTTGATATTTGCTGGGAATGGCTTCCAGAATAGACACGTACTGGACAATCTAATGACAAACTAATAACTTTTTTTGTATGCTATTTTTGTATTTAATTTCTTCTTAATCGTACATAGGAGAAAAGGGAAACGGACAGAAATTAACATGTGATACAACCAATATATTGCCAGTTCCCGTATGTAATGTGTATAAGATCCTAGATTTTACCCATTCTTACTGTACTAAATCAGCTAAATACATACCAGGTGCATCAAAACATAAAGGGGTTGATTTACTAAAACTGGAAAGAGCAAAATCTGGTGCAGCTCTGCACAGCAACCAATCAGCTTCCAGTTTTTTTTTTGTCAAAGCGTAATTGAACAAGCTGAAATTAGAAGCTGATTGGCTACCATGTACAGTTGCACCAGATTTCACACTCTCTAGTTTTAGTAAACCAACCCCAAAGTTTTCAATGTTCATTTTGTTTCTAAACTGTCACAACCTGAGCAGAAAAGCTTGCCCCTACAGCAGCTGCAGAGCGAGACCCTTGTTCTCTGTTGGGAAGCAGTGGTCTCATTGTGTTATTGATAAACCTATAACTCTTCAGTCAACACCTGGAATGTGTCTAGCTAACAATGAACATTTTGGAGCTTTCATGCTACCTTTAAAAAATCAATTTTGTATTATCCTTACACAGCATTTAAATATAAGTATTTAAAAGTTTTTATACCAACCTCATATTTTTCTGGCTTTCCAAATTCCAGCATACCTTTGATCATTGTTGGCTCCTTTTTGTGCACTTCCAACATCATTTCATGCACTATCTGTAGAGACCAGTTTGTTCCTACAATGGAATACAACACATTATACCAAAGGCTGATGAGTTTTAGCAGTCAAATGTCTTCATTATTTTTAGGGCCAGTTCACACCACAAAAACAGAGTCCAGATGCATTCTGGATGTGTTTCTACATACACTTTTACATACATTTTTATGCTTTTTTTAAAGTGTTCCAGTGTGTTTTTTCCCCTCTTGTGTTTTTTTTTTTTTTTTACTAAAGTTTCCCAGGCTTTGGTTGTTAGGAGCTGGCACACACACCGGGGTCCTAACAACGATGAGTCATCCCTGCTGTCAGTGAGGATTCCCCACTGACAGCAGAATATAAACAAAAGAGCCGGCTGTAAAAAAAAAAAACTGCTTGGAGGTCAAGGTCTGGTAATGGATTTTAAAGGGGATCCCATGCCAAATAAACAAATAAAAAAGTGTGCCCCCCCCCCCCCCAGAATCAATACCAGGCTCTACGGTCTAATATGGATCTGAGGTGGAGACTCCACACCAAAAAAATGGTGTGCATCCCCCAAAAAATCCATACCAGACCCTTATCTGAGCATGCAGCCCGGCAGGCCAGGAAAGAGGGAGAATGAGCCTGGCAAAGCCCCTTGTCCCCATGTTAATGACAAGAAGGGCCACTTACCCACAGCCCTGACTGTGTGGTTGTGGGGGTGCAGGAGGTAGCTTATTAGAATCTGGAAGTCCCCTTTAACAAGGGGACCCCCAGATCCTGCCCCCCCATGTGAATGAATTAATTTGTGGCCGGTGTTCATTGTGATTGACAATGGATTTTTTTTTAAACATGGGGGGTGGGATCTGGGGGCCCCCTTGTTAAACAGGACTTCCAAGTTTCCATAAACTACACCTCGCACCTCCACAACCATTTGGCCAGAGTTGTGGGGAAGAGGCCCTTGTCCTCATCAATATGAGTTGAGAGCAAGTTGCGGGCATGTGGCCTGGTATGATTCAGGAGAGGGGAGGCACTGCCCCCCTCCCCACCTACTTGGTCTGCAGGCCGTCATGCTCGGATAAGGATCTGGTATGAATTTTAGGGGGACCCCACACCATTTTTTGGGGTTTCCCTTAAAATCCATACCAGACCAAAGAGACTGGTACGGATTTTAGGTGGAACCTAAGCATTTTTTTTATGGTGTGGAGTCCCTTTCAAAACCCATAATAGACCCAAAGGGCCTGGTAGGGGTTGGTGAGGACCCCCACACTGTTTTTTTGGGTTTTTTTTTGTAATGAAAGCTCTTTTGTTTACATTCTGCTGTTCACAGGGAATCTGCTTTACCTGGATATAAACACACAGATTATTTTTTTTCATAGTCTAAGAGAGTCCCCCATCTACGCTATACAGTGCTGATGGAGGAAACTCCAGCTTTGGATATTGCATTCTGACAGTTGCAGCCAGCTGAATCCAATGCCAGTATCAGAATACCTGAACAGCAGCTGCATCTAACTGGATGCAGCTGCTGTTCAGCTGACAATTTTCCCCTTGGCGTCTTCAATTTTTCAACCAAAGGATGTTAGGTGACCCGTGTAGAGAATTGTATCCAAGTCCTTAGTAATTCAGATAGTGGGTATGTAGCTAACCCCCTGAAATTTTATTACTTGCAATACATTAAGATGGACATTAGATGGCGGTGGCCTGCCATTCAGGGTCACTCACATTTACAGAACAGCCATCTGGAACTTGTAAGCTGAATAGCAGAACTCAGCCGGTGAGCAGGGTGGCCTGAGAACTATATTTCCCAAGAGAGGTAGCGTGTGGGCGGGGGCATATAAAAATCAAAGCCTGGGAGATTGGCCAAGAGAGTGCAGGGAGAGACTGAAGGAGAAGGAGGTGTGCTGAAGTACGTTGCAGAGCCAGGGATGGAGAGAGAGGAAGAGCGGAAAGAGCCTACTGACCTCCTGGTCCACCATGCTGTCCAGTAGGCCAATCTGACAGCATGTGACCAGATGGGACGCTGAGTCTGAAGCAGAGAGTCTGTGGACTGACCCCGGTTGCAGGGAAAGATGGACTGCCGCCGATCTGCCGGACTACTTAGATTGGGTGAGAGAGACCCTCGCACCCCCTAAGTGAATACTGACAGTTTGCCACCTCAGCTATCTACTTACACATAGTTCTATACATACAGGTGAAACTAAAAAAAATTAGAATATCGTGCAAAAGTTCATTTATTTCAGTAATGCAACTTAAAAGGTGAAACTAATATATGAGGTAGACTCATTACATGCAAAGCAAGATAGTTCAAGCCGTGATTTGTCATAATTGTGATGATTATGGCTTACAGCTCATGAAAACCCCAAATCCACAATCTCAGAAAATTAGAATATTGTGAAAAGGTGCAATATTCTAGGCTCAAAGTGTCCCACTCTAATCAGCTAATTAAGCCATAACACCTGCAAAGGGTTCCTGAGCCTTTAAATGGCCTCTCAGTCTGGTTCAGTAGGAATCACAATCATGGGAAAGACTGCTGACCTGACAGTTGTGCAGAAAACCATCATTGACACCCTCCATAAGGAGGGAAAGCCTCAAAAGGTAATTGCAAAAGAAGTTGGATGTTTCCAAAGTGCTGTATCAAAGCACATTAATAGAAAGTTATGTGGAAGGGAAAAGTGTGCAAGAAAAAGGTGCACAAGCAGCAGGGATGACCACAGCCTGGAGAGGATTGTCAGGAAAAGGCCATTCAAAAGTGTTGGGGACTTTCACAAGGAGTGGACTGAGGCTGGAGTCAGTGCATCAAGAGCCACCACACACAGCCGGATCCTGGACATGGGCTTCAAATGTTGTATTCCTCTTGTCAAGCTGCTCCTGAACAACAAGCAACATCAGAAGTGTCTTACCTGGGCTAAAGAAAAACAGACCTGGTCTGTTGCTCAGTGGTTCAAAGTCCTCTTTTCTGATGAGAGCAACTTTTGCATCTCATTTGGAAACCAAGGACCCAGAGTATGGAGGAAGAATGGAGAGGCACACATTGCAAGATGCTTGAAGTCCAGTGTGAAGTTTCCATAGTCTGTGTTGATTTGGGGAGCCATGTCATCTGCTGGTGTTGGTCCACTGTGCTTCATTAAGTCCAGGGTCAACGCAGCCATCTACCAGGAGATTTTGGAGCACTTCATGCTTCCTTCCACAGACAAGCTTTATGGGGATGCTGACTTCATTTTCCAGCAGGACTTGGCACCTGCTCACACTGCCAAAAGCCCCAAAACCTGCTTCAATGACAGTGGGATTACTGTGCTTGATTGGCCAGCAAACTCGCCTGACCTGAACCCCATAGAGAATCTATGGGGCATTGCCAAGAGAAAGATGAGAGACATGAAACCGAACAATGCAGAAGAGCTGAAGGCCGCTATTGAAGCATCCTGGTCTTCCATAACACCTCAGCAGTGCCACAGGCTGATAGCTTCCATGCCACGCCGCATTGAGGCAGTAATTGCTGCAAAAGGGGCCCAAACCAAGTACTGAGTACATATGCATGCTTATACTTTTCAGAGATCCAATATTGTTCTATGTACAATCCTTGTTTTATTGATTGCATGTAATATTCTAATTTCCTGAGATTGTGGATTTGAGGTTTTCATGAGCTGTAAACCATAATCATCACAATTATGACAAATCACGGCTTGAACTATCTTGCTTTGCATGTAATGAGTCTATCTCATATATTAGTTTCACCTTTTAGGTTGCATTACTGAAATAAATGAACTTTTGCACGATATTCTAATTTTTCAAGTTTCACTTGTACACTGGAGTATTTAGGAAGAGGACTTACACTTTATATTGTGGGACATTCAGTTGATGGTTCATTGGACTCACTATTATTCTTAGATTTATTTTTCTTTCATTTGTAAATTGAACTCACTATTATTCATATATTTTGTAACTGTTGTTTTTAGATTAGTGCTGCACAGTATTCTGTATATCTATGTTGTTCATTTGCTATCACAAATGTGTGCAAGCTGCTTTTGATCATTAACCTCAAGTGCAGTAGTGGATTTGTTTTCATATATTTTAATCAGAGTTGCCCTGAATAACCTCAGAGCATGAGTAAGAACAAAAGAAAAACTCTTAACCCTTTAGAAGCACCTGCTTACATGGTTGTTATACAATTATCTTTCTAGTTATAATTTCATCTGGCTGTAATGCTGTCTCTATTAATTTCTGGCCTGGATAAATATGACCGCCTTCACTAAATGGCAGACCGTGATCCGGACCTACTGACAGCCCAGTCTGGACCATCAGCCCATCATTCTGCTGTGCTGGATCCACAGTAAGCTGCAATCATTGGTTGTTAGGATTGACAACATCATATCAACCAATATTGTCACATGTGTGCCCAGCCCCCTGCAGCATGCTTCTCATCCCAGCTGGCTCTAATGGACTCTACTGATCTATAGTGAGACTCTGATGGGGGAATCTGATGTATGGGGGCATTCTGGTGGGGGAAACCCGATGTATGAGGGCACTGTGATTTTAGCAGCTGATAACTGTCAGGTCAACAGTCTTTCTCATGATTGTGATTCCTACTGAAACAGACTGAGAGACCATTTAAAGGCTCAGGAACCCTTTGCAGGTGTTATGGCTTAATTAGCTGATTAGAGTGGGACACTTTGAGCCGAGAATATTGCACCTTTTCACAATATTCTAATTTTCTGAGATTGTGGATTTGGGGTTTTCATGAGCTGTAAGCCATAATCATCACAATTATGACAAATCGTGGCTTGAACTATCTTGCTTTGCATGTAATGAGTCTATCTCATATATTAGTTTCACCTTTTAAGTTGCATTACTGAAATAAATGAACTTTTGCACGATATTCTAATTTTTCAAGTTTCACCTGTATAGTTGCCCCAGTTTGCGGCCTAGTTCTCACAGCTGCCATTATTGGAATACATCTGCATTACAGTTCATCATACAAGCTGACCACAGGGCACACAGTTACTGGGCAGGATATAGCAGTGCCAACTGAAACAACCAATTTCCTTTTTCAACAAAGCAGGATTCCTA